AATATTGATACTCAGAGAACGTCTGTTTTTGGACTTAATTTTAAGTTTAGTAGTATTTTGACGTCCAGTGGACGTCCATCTTAGGTCATTATTTATTAAGCATACCAGATAATACTCATCTGTATTATATACTTCTTTTTTTAATATAACTGGTCATTAAAAATTGACAAATTAAATCTATCAGTGGAAGTTTGAAATCTTATTCAATTTTAACTGTATCTAGTAAAAAGTTTTCAAGTGGTTCCTTGGTCGAGCTCGTCTAGCGATTGAAAGGGTAAAACGATAATGGATGTGTCGTGAGTTCGATGCCTGCTCAGGTCAAGCGATTTTTAATAAAAAAAAAAAATAAATGGTGTATAGCGGTTTGCGAAAATAATAAACAAATTATTAATAATATAAAATAGTGTGTGGTAAGTTGCGGTTCTGTAAAAAAAGTGGGGATGTGGTCTCAATGGAAATATAATACTGGACGTTTTTTGAATGTTCAGTATTCGACGTCCAAATATATTCCAGAATTAAACGTCCTCTAAATGGTCAAAAGTGTGCCATTTGTATACTTCACTGGACGTCTATTGGATGTCGGAAGTCCAGAAAAAACTCATTCTTGGACGTCTAGACATCCAAAATTGTATATTGAATGGACGTCCAATGGACATATTTGTATTGTCTGGGTGATAGCCAGGCCAGGTATTTAACTCTAAATACATAAACCTTAAATGACATCTGGCTTAACTTGGCGAGAAAACACTTGTTTATACAGAAATGAGTGATAAACTTGAAAGTCCTTTTAATATAACATAAATCCAGAAATTCTAAAAATATGTAAGTACTTTTTAAACCTAAAAGTTTTTGAAAATATAAGCACATTGCAAATATTTAGTTAAATATCTCAAACTTAATGTCTTTTTAATTGTTACCTAAATTTTTTTTGGCACACTTAATTTTATTTATCTTATTTTTACTTAAGGAAAAGGTAATTTAATTTAAATATGGGGCTTTTATTACATTTTTAACAATAAATAAATCAAATATTGAACAAATTTTATAGATAAATTATAAAATAATAAATGTCTTTTACTTTTATAATAAATAATTAATTATTACATAATGAATTATATTTTGGTGCCGAAATTTCACCATTGCTATTAACCCTAACTACTTCAATGTAAAACAACATTTGCGCATGGACTATAACAATGATTTCAGATAATTTGCCAAACTATTTCGCTCAGTGTAGAAAATAAGCATGTTTTCTCAGCGTGCTAAGTTGTGTATCAATCAAAATCATGCTGTGAAAAAGGTACATCCGATATCAAAGGCACCGACAGCTACTGTCGCTTCTCCTTAATCGTTATTCTCGGGTTTGACCTTGCAACTACGGGACGTCGTAGATAGTTGCATTAATATTTGTTTAGAAACAACAAGTGGAATTAGGTGCGATAAACATTGTTGTTACTCAATGTATTTTTTTTTTCTAATAGTTTATTTAGTTGTTAATTCTATTCTAACCTCAAACTGCATCTGGTGTTTATTTTCCGACATGGGCGTCTCATATTATTTTTATTTTTTTTTAGGGGTGATTTAAAAATGGCATGCAAATATCAAAGAGAAGTCGGAAATAGAAAATAACGCGATTATACTCAATAAAAATTAGAACTGGCAGTGGCAGAGTATGAGCCAGGCAATTGATAGCCACTGCCACAAAATATAACATACCGTACGCTACATTGTACAGAAAAATAAAAGGCATCCATACTAAACCAGCTGGTGGTCAGACGGCCCTCACAAATAACGAGGAAGAAACTCTGGTTAAATGTATTTCCATTGAAGCTAAGTGAGGATTTCCTTGCGATAGTGAAGAAATTAGAGATTTAATGCAAAACTATCTCGAAAGAAGTGGTAAAATAATAAGTTCAAATAAAATAGACAAGGCGAAACTTGGAACTCTGTCAGTAAGATTATCTCAATCAATAAAACAAAGCAAGGCTAAAGTTAATCAATATACTATCAACAAATTTTTCGACAATCTTTCAGAGGTTTTAACAGGTGTACCCCCGGAAACCATTGTGAACTATGATGAAACAAACTTTACTGACGATCCTGGACGAATTAGAGTAATCGTTCGAAAAATATGAAAAATTGCTGAAAAAATCATGGATACCTCGAAAGCAGTCACATATGTGATGTTTGCATGTTCAGCGGCAGGACAATTACTTCCAGTATTATATAGTTTAACAGGCGGATCATTTGTAGTCTACTTGGACTGAAAATGGACCAGCAAATGCTAGATATAATCGCTGGTTTGACGCTAATATTTTTGAAGAGTGGTTCACAAATATAATTCTTCCCTATTTCAGAAGTTTACCACAAGGTCCGAAGGTTCTTGTAGGAGATAATTTAGCAAGCCATGTATCAATGAATATAATTGACAAATGCCAAGAAAATGATATCCGTTTTGTTCCACTCCCACCCAACAGCATACATATGACACAATCGTTAGATGTCAGTGTATTTCGTCCCATCAAAATAGACACAAATTTTAAGACAGTGGAAAAAGCATAATGCGGGGGTTGCTAGAAAAGATGTCTTTCTAAGGCTCTTGAATTTTTTTTTAAAAACTGTTCCAGACAGAAGCGGACGGACGTCAACAAATAGACGATATGACCAAATCCCTAACAATATTGTTTGAAAAATCTCGCTTTAAAGCTCCTGGTTCATCTGTAGACAAAAAAAAAATTGAACATCTTACGGGAAGATTTTTCTCCAATAAGTGTTCCAACAACTTCAAATGTTTAAACTCCAAATGTTTCAACAACTATGAAAGTTAAAAATTCTAAAAAAAGAAGGAAGTTGATTGTTCATCGAGATTCTTTTTCTTCAGATAGCAATAAAGAAATGGAAGTGATGTTTCCATTGATACTGATAGCGACGTAGATCCAGAATTATTCTCTGATTTAGAAAATACAAACGAAAATGACAAAAATTCGGTAAATGTTTCAATAGACACTAACTTTACTCATGATTTGACTGCTGGTAACTTTATTTTTGTTCAAATGGCAACAGAAAATGGAGAAAATATGTGGCCAAAATATTAACCGGTGAAAATCAAAGCACATTTTTTGCTATTTTCTTAGGGAGAGTAAAGTAAAAGATGCATATGTTTTTCCCACAGCAGAGGATAAAGGAATCGTAAATGTGTCAGAAATAATCAATCAAGAAGCTGACAGAACTGAAAGTTTTAAGACGGGGGCAGCTACAGTTTATAATAATTAGAGGTAGTTATATAAATATTTATTTATCTGTATTTTTCAAAGTGTGTTTATTTTTGTTATTAACCATGACATTTTTGTTCCTTTTTATGTTTTGTATGAGATTGTTTAGTTTATTTAATAAAATTTTGTGTTATTTTAAAACCAACACGTTTTATTCCTTAATCCTTACTATGTGGTTATCGCATATACCTAATTTTAACTTTTTTTTTTACTTTCAAGACGCCTCTGCTATACGTTTTACTTGAACACAACTTGAAAAACAAGCAATTTTCAAGCCGCCTCGCCCGTGGGGCGTCTTGAAAATAACCCTATTTTTTTAACCCCTCAGGAGGGGTTAATTTAATAATCTATATATACCATCCGATTCTCCTCAGCCTTAAGTAACCTAAAAAAAATATAGTTCCATTCGAAAGCAATTCAAAGATGAAAATGTTTATCAAGTAGCCCCGGTTTACGGTACTTTAATGGTAAAAGCATGGGTGGTTTATTGTTTAACCACAAAAACCAAACTCTCCATGACAAAATTTCGTAAACAACTTTCGAGATCCTTGATACAAAATGATAATGAAATAAATGCTGAACAAAAGTGCGTTGGTAGTTACAAAAAATTTAGACAAATGATGTCAAGTCGCGAAGCAGATATAAAGACAAAAAAGTGATCAGTTAGTTAATAAACATTTTTAAACGTGTTTATTTTTTACTTAGATGAATCCTGCTTTGCTGTAATATACAACACACTTTTCTTAACTTTTTTTTTAATAAAAATATATAGATCTTTAAATTACAATGTAAAAACAATTTTTAAAATGGACACCTTTCGGGTCTCGAAATGCATTTAAATAACAACTCTATACGGATCCTCAGACCCGTATCGTATGTATGTTATATTGGGAATGGGGTGCGACCTAAAAGATCTATTGTGCCCCATTCTGTCACTAATGCAGCGAGGAAATGTCTCGATGCCTATGATGACCCTTCCAATCCAATCTTCTCAAGGAAGTGTAGGATTTGGAGTGGCTTCAGGTTAGACAAATCTCCCTCTTCTATTTAATATGCTCCTATGTATAGTGCCCTTGGATTCTGGAGTGCTACACATTCAGTCAGTCAGTCAGTATGTAAGTAATGACACAAAAATAGATCCGCGAATTAGAGATACTTTTAAACGGTGATATAAAATACAGGGTGAGTGAGTTTTGATTCACCCTATGCAGATTTATTTCTAATTGAAAAAGTAGTGCATCAGCATAATTGTTGACTATTATCAAAACCCTTTTACCGCAAAAAATTGGTTTTCAATAGTTACTTTTCCACTATAATCCAGGTCATTGAAATCAATACAATTATCATTTAAAACTGGTTATAGCGAGTGAAATACCCTATATAATCTCATACTATCTGATATTACAATGGTAAAAACGAGGGAATTTAAATATAAAATAAAAAACAGAGTGGTCCATTTAAAAAACCTAACTTTGATATGTATCACTTTCTTGGAGAACCATGTATAATTGTAATTATTTTTAAATTGTTGCCATTTCTAATATACATCTTGCTCTAAAAACAGATTTTAAAAAAATAATAGTTTTGGTTCTACAAACCGAGGCGTTACTGGTGGCCCACCCTATATATAATGTTAAACAAAATTTAAGTACTTTTTCCAAAATTTCTCTCACTGTTAAAAACATAAAATATTCATGTAAATAAAAATATATATTTTTTTTAGTATAGTACGTTTCGCATTCTAAGAGTCTGGTAACACCACTGCCACCTAACTTCCTAATTTCACCCTCAAAACTCTTAAATTAGAAAAAATATACAGCTACCAATTTTTTTTCCAAAATAAAACTGTTTTTCAATCCATATATTATTTTGAACTACATTCACGAATTTTCCTTAAAACTATATTTACAATCCTTAGCCAATACTTGGAATACGCGAAAATAATGGTAGCAAATTTTTACGAAAAATGTTTAAAACTTCAGTATTTCCTTGAAACGACGTACAAGAAACACGATTTGGCAACAGCTCAAAGTGAGTTAATCATTTTTCGTGAAAATTTCCGTAATACTCAATTTAATCACGTTCACCCAATACTTTTTCTTTCAAAACAAGTAACGGTGGTAAGTAACCGATTTTCGACGGGGCGGTAAAATTATCAAAAAGAAAAATATGAAGTTAATCTTTAGATTAAGCAAATGTCAAATAAAAGCCTTTGAAACGTACGTCAAATGTTAAAAAAATATAGATACGAACATCACATGTCAAACGATTATTTGAAGTTTAGGGTATACATCAAATGTCATTTTACAAGCTTTTAAAAGTCAAAAAGTTTGCAAACGTACTTCAAATCGTTTGTTACGCAGTGTCGATCAAAAGGGAGCATAATTCGTCGAAAAATCATACTTAAACGTTAATCCAGGCAGGCAATTTAAGTAAAAAAAAAAACGATATGATTCAAATTTGCCGTCCATACTAAAAGGTTTAACACGTCCACCGCCCCGCAAAGTATACATGTAGTTAACACTAATACATATTATATCTTTCTAATTTATTTTTAAATGCATTTTTAGACCTCAACTCAATATAAAACGTCATCTTTTCGTTATATTTAAAAAAAAATCTTATTTCTTATGGTAAATATTGGTGAAAATTCAATTTTTCCATTGTATTAAAAAATACAAAAAAATGCATTAACTCTGAAGACTCGAATATTTTTCCAAAAACTAAATAATTTCTCAAAATATAAAATTTCCAACATCCCTCTCTTTTTTTTAAATGTGTTTCTTATCACTCATACTGACCTTCAAAATCAAGAACCCTGCTTTCTCCCCTCATAAAAAAAAACAAACAAAAAACCTTAAGCGAAAGAAAGTATGCAACTTTGAAATGTCACTGAATAATCACAGGTTCAAATCTCACGCCAAGGATAATTATCCAGCTATCCTATCGTCTACTCACAGCCTTTGTATTGCCGAATCTACTACAAGCCTTTTTCCATCTGCAACAAAGAAATAAATTGAATAACCATAAACGCTAAATATTAATTTTAGAGAAAAATTTTAAAACAAAATATAGAAAATTGTCTCTGCTACAAAAAAGTTATTTTAAATTTACACACACTTGAAAGAATGGTACTAAACCTATTATAATTGAAATCTTACCTGCATCTTGTACACCATAAATCCTTGAACTCGATCCCGTACATTTTCCTGCACTTTTTCTTGCCATCCTTCTTTGGTCTCTTCGTCGCGACATCTTCATCATCGTCGTCATCGGGCGTCGAATCACCGCCGCCACTGGTTGTCTTAGATTTGCACTTTTCGCACCATTTTCTCTTGGTCGTCGATTGGGGCGTCGTTTCGATGGTATTGTCGTCACAAGAGCATTGACTGTCATTGCGGGAGTATTCATTGAAGAAGATGAACGGATTCGGACTGGTTACTTCCCTAAATAGTAAAAAGTTTCTTTAACATTGTAAATTTTTGTACTAATTAATTTTGAAGTGTTGAAATATTAACAAATGCAACGCCAGTTATAGGTGAATTTAAATTTTAACTTTAAAACTTCTTTATTTAAAAACCGATAAATATATTAAATTAATATATTTAAGAAAACATTTCTGTAAGTCTTTTAATTAATATCTTCTTATTTTTATTAGTAATTAGTTTTAATGAAGGCAAAATATTGAATTAATATCTTCAAGACAACTTTTCTACAATGGGGAATGTTCAAAAATTTTGAATTTTTTTTTATGAATAATAGAGTTGAAAATAAAGCTACATTTTTTTTTTTATTTTTATCTCTTCATTTGCCAGTTATGAATTTTTTTAAATTTATGACGTCACCGGGAATAGACCAATGGAGCTAGCGCCACAACGTTGCCGACTAGAAGGTTTACGAGAAGTGATAAACGTTCGTTTGTGTACTCCTTCTTACTTTTAGACTTCTAAAACATCGTTAAACAAATATCTTTTAAATATATAATATCAAATGTTTTTTGAAAGTATTATTTCTGTTTAAACTTTTACCATATTTAAAGTTTCATTGTTTTAAAAGTCACTTAATAATTCAGAAAATGGCAAAATGGCAGCACTGTGTATGGCATCTGTCATCATAGTGTCTCGATCAAGAATTTATTTGAAATTTGAGTGTTTAATTTTGTACTTTTTATAAATATTATGACTACGAAAAAGTGTTTTGTTCCAGAATGTGATAATGATTCACATTCATCTTCAAAAATATTTATTAGTGTTCCTAGAAATTTGGAAAGAAGAAAATCAACTTTCTACTAGCGATGTTTCTCGTGAACTTTTTAATAAAAATACACCGGATTATCAAGATGTAGCAGCAATTTCTGCTAATTGTCCCCTTCAGGAAATTGAAAATGAGGCTACTATAAATTCTTAGGTGTATAACCTAAAAACCCTTCTGGAAGAAAATGCAGAATCTCCTGAAAGTTTAGAAGATACCGAATTTATTCATCATTTTGTGGAAGAACTAGTGATAAAGAAATAATAGAAAAATGTGGGTATTTAAACAAACTGGTTCCTGGATCCCATATAATGGCAGATAGGGGTTTCAGAATATTCAGCTACTTGAAAACATGGGATGCACTTTAGTAAAGCCACACCTAGTGTATCACAGAATGAAAAAGTTCTCCAGAAGATGTACAATTAAGTAAAAGAATAGCATCTCTAAGAATACATGTGGAAAGAGTTATAAGAAGGGTTAGTTACCTAATTTAACATGTTAAAACCACATTCCTGTGTGAATTTTAAGAAAGTACATTTACTTAGTAATATCTGCATAATTGCTTGTTAACTTACAAGAACCTATTTTGTAAGAGTAAATATTATATTAATAAACTTTTTTTATTTGTTTTTTAATTTAATTTACCTAATTATCTCATTTCAGGGATTATAATGAGTTTTTAAACAGCCAATGTAATTTTTTATGAAATGTAACTTTTCGAGCAAATCAAAGAGGAATGAGTACCTGTATCTGCATAGATTTTTTTGGGACTAAAACTACCAAACCAAAGGCACCTATTTACAGCAGTTTAAAATGAAACATTTTAACAAAAACGCCTATGTCAGTGATAAATATTAAAAACAACCAAGTTCAGTTGAATGTGGTAGCAAAGTCTATATATTCCAATAAATCGGTAACTACATGTGTGTCACTGGTGATAAATTTAAAAATATCACAATTCTTGCCACCTTTTTCAAAAAACCAGAAATTGCCTTCTTATCAATCCTTAAGAAAATGACAACAGTGATAAATGTGAAAAAAAATATTTAATGTTGCTATTCGTTATTACGATAGTAAAACATGTTTGCAGTTCCGTTTATTTTTTATGAAAATCTAAGTAAAAACAACCAATGTCAAAGGGTTATAATTTTTTTCTGTCAAACCAAATATATCACAAAATTCAAAATTGATCGTAGGTCAAGCTAAAGTAATACCTTTATTGATAGTAGCTTTAAAAAAGGAGAAAGAATAATATTGCCTTCAGTTATTATTATTAACATTGGTGATTTTTAATAAAAACTCTTCAATTACTGTTTACAAACAAAAAAATAAAAATCTGTTAAAATTTTATTTATTAATCTTTTAATAAAAAATGAGAAAAATGAAGTAAAAAACAATTTATTTACAAATAAAAAATATATATACAAATCCTAAGAATATAAAAGTACTGATTTATTTTCCTGTAGTGGATGAAGAGGTTTCTTTAACAATCTAGCCAAGTGTACATCAATATTTAGGCATTTTGATAAATTAGTGCCTTTCCAATAACACTGAGTAGATGTTACAGATGTTTCCTCAATTCTTCTATGAAGCCACACGTTTACAACCACCTGAAAAAAATAAAAGGGTTAGATATGCAGTTACAAAATAACTATATAACCAGCTACAAAATGCCTTATTTTATGTAACAAGATGAGCAGAGCTTTACTAGCTCTGAACGAATCCAGTAAAGAACCTCGGATTTTCAAAACTTAAAAAAAAACAATCTCACCACATTTCACATTTTTGAAATATTATAGAGCTTTTTGAAAAAAACTGCTATTTTTAAAAGTACATTTTTTTGTTTAAACAGCTATGTCTCATTTTAGGCTATTGAGTATTATAAAATAAAAAATTACTGGATGCTTTGTTAGCTTCAAATGAATCCAGCAGAGCACCCCAGTTTTTTTTTTAAACCACACCACGTTTTTTGGCTCCTACAATATTAAAAAATATTAAAAATTTGGCATTTTTAAAAAAAATTCGCAATTCCTTGCTGACTTCAAAGTTTTTTTTTCTGAAAACAAATATACTTACCACACCACATTTTTAGGATTTTAAAACAGCCTAAACATGTGTCATAAGTAGTTGTTTTTATATATAAAAAAAACAAATTAAAAAACTGAAGTGTCCTGCTGACTTTGTTCCAACAAAGCACCCTGTATTATTTAAAAATAGCAATTTTTTTAGTAAAGTATTACAATATTTTAAGAGTCTAAAAATATTCTAAAAATGGGGTGTGGTTTTTAGAAAAAAGCTTTAAAAAACCGAATTGCTCTGCTGGCTTCTTTCGAAGGTTAGCAAGCACCATGTATTTTTTAAAAATATCATTTTTTTTTTGAAAAAAAAAAAAAATGATAATATTTCAAGTGCATAAATATATGGTGTTGCTGTTTTTACAGAAAAAAACTTTATAAAACAGAGGTACTTTGCTGCCTTCGTTCGAAGCTATCAGAGCATTTTAAGTTTTGAACAAAACGAGGAGCATACAATTTTTGGAAAGGGTATAAAAATAGCCTAAAAATATGGCATATTATGTTTTAACTCAAAATTTCATAGGTGCTCTGCAGCATTCTTTGGTATCATAATTATTACTAGGTTCACTAACAAAATCTATTTCTAGATTATTTTAACACTAGCTGCGATTACAAAAAATATCTCTTTATATGTCAAAATTAGAAAAAAAATATTTATAGAAATAAAGGGCCTTATACACTGTTTATTATATGTGATATAAAAACAAAAAAGCATAATAAATATTACAAACCTTGAGATACAGCATATCCTAAGCATTGTGCACTAAAAATTTCATTTTTGTTAATTATAACAACCACATCATAAGGTTTTTGCCGTACTTTATGTTTAGGTGTAATTTGTCTCCTTCTCTCTTATGGAAAAAGTAATTATCTCCATATTCTTGCTTGGCAGATCTAAAAATAAAACCTGAGATAAATATGTTTTACTATAAGGTGTATTGCTCCATATAAACAAATTATAAATAAAGTCTTACCTTTCTGTCTTTTGTATACTGAGTATTGTTAAAAAATGCAATATTCATCTCGGTAATCATATTTTCGTTTACAATGGGTAAAACACTTGATTCAACTTTTATAAATCCAGATGATAAATTAAACCAAAACAAAAAACTAAGGTTAGGTGGTGTCAATTTTAATGTCACTTAGATGTGCGTTCACTTCGACATTCTGTGTGTCAGTTTGTTCGTTGGCTTGGTTTTGTATAACAAAAAAACTTTGACACAAGATGATTGGTCTATTCCCGATGACGTATAATTTCAAATTTTAAATTTCAATTGGGCTTAATTTAAAAACTTTTGGCTTTTTTAACGAACTGACTATTTAGAATAACTTGTATAGCGACTATTATAATATAATTTATAAAACAGCATATCTCACATGTGAACATGGCCCATTATTGGTCTAAAACATTTCCCATAAATTTTAGACTTTTTTAGTAATTAATTCTAAGTTGGTGAATTTTTAACAACAATGTTAATTCCAGGTGAGTCAAATGTATATTTAAATTTTAATTGCAAGACATCATTATTTGAAAATCATATATTTAATTAATATCTTCGAAAAAACATTTCTACATCAATGTCTTTAAAATTTGTTTAGTAATTATATTTGCAGTAGTACACTTTTAATGTCTGTTAGTTCCACATATATTTTTAAATTTCAACTTTAGGATCTAATTTGAAAACAAGTAAATATATTGAATACATGTCTTTAAGAAAACGTTTCTACCACTGTTTTAAGAAATGATTTTAAAGTGGTGAATAAAACAAACCTCTCATCCTTTTTTCCTTCGTCCTGACTCTCACACTCATAGAAATGCCTATCGCTTAGGGTATCAGGAGACAGAGAAGATTCTTCAGTTTCAAAAGATGACCTCAATGAAATTTCCTCCTCTTCTATGCTCTCCCTGATCCGTTTCTGTTGAATCTCCTCTTCAGAATCAGATAGCAACAGCTGCCTCTGCTGTGGTCTGAAGAAAATGTTCCCATAGTCACTACAAAAGATTCAGAAATATTAATAAATAATATCCCAATAAAGTATGTTTATTATTATAACAAATAAAAATGAGACAAATAAATTAGTTACCTGTCCACTCCACTCTCCTCTGAAAATGAATCATGCAAGTCAAAATCTGGAATTTCTTTATAAAACAAATCAACATCCTCTTCAATAATTTTCTTGATTATTCTCTTCTTGGAGTCTTCCGTGCTGTCATTGAGGTAAGTAGACTCGAAATCGTTTTCCAGATCTAACAGCAATTGTTGGTTGCCGTCTAAAAGTTTCATAATGTTCGTATCTTCAGTCAAACGTTGAGTATCTGCTTGCCGAAAGAATATACAATCATTTTATCTGTTATTAGAATTATAGGCTTATTTAATTGAAAGTTTACTAAAGTCAAAATACAAATTTACAGATTGATTCATCAACCATCTGGATATCATTTAAGTATTTATAATAAAAATATTTAATTCTGATGACTGATTAAAGACTGCTTATCAAAATGACAATCATTTTTATTATTAACTATGCTTATACAATTTAAATTGTTTCAAAAGAATATTAATAGATAAAATTTAGTGAAACTTTTGTCACAGTAACAAATTTCACCAAAAATGTTTATTTTATTTATTTATAGTACACTACAAAGGCAAATCAAAACAACATATTTATTCAGGTTTTGATCATTCTAAAGATGATAACAAATAAAGCTCATATTTGATGTGTTTGACTCACCTTCAACTTTTTTCCCCAACAAAACGTCCAAACTCAATTCATCAGCATGCAACACTTCATTTTCAATGCAATAATTACTGATTATACTTTCTGTCTTATTGGAATCATTTAAAAGCTCAGAAAATATTCTGAAATTTTCTGAGCATTTGTAGCAGAATAGGGATGTCTCATTTTCACTTATTACCTGCAAAATTAAACAATAACATTTTGATAATTACTATTGGAGCAGTACAGAAGAATGCCCTGTTTCGACAATCATCATAATAATAATAATAATAATAATAATAATAGTTTATTTGTCCTTTAGGATCATGTTACATGATATAGGATAAGTCATAATATATATGAATAAAAAATATTAAAATACAAATATAGGTATAGTATACAAAAAAATATATATATCTAAGACATGCACATTAAAAATATACAATTAGAAAAACATTTACCTTAAAATATGGTGGTATTCAGATAAATTATAAAAACATGAATCTACTAAATAGTTTTTAAGTTTTCTTTTAAAAGGTTCATATTTCTTTTCAGATTTAATGAAATCAGGGAGTTGATTAAAAAATTTAATTCCAACAAATTCAGGCAATTTCTCAAATAATGCTGTTGAATGTCTTGGTGTTCTGAATAAATTTGCGTTCCTAGTTGAGTATTCATGGTAATCTGAATTTTGTAAAAATTGGTGTATGTTGCGTTTAGCATATATAGCAACGTTTTATAAATGTAAATACAGGGAAATATTAATATTTAAAATTTTTTGAGTTATATTTACAAGTTTGCATTAATTCTAGATTAAAAATAAGCCGGATTATTCTTTTCTGTAAGATAAATACCTTAGATGCATTAACTGCATCACCCCAAAGAATAATGTTGTATGATATATGAGAATATGCTAAAGCATAGTAGACATTAAGCAGTTGCTCTTGGGTAAATATTGACTTTAATTTTAGTATTGCATAGTATGCACTGTTTAATTTTTTACAAACGTTAGATATTTGGCTATCCCAACCCATATTGTCATCAATATGTATGCCCAAAAATTTTGTAACATCTGAGAGCATAATTTCTGCATTATTGACATTTATTTTACAATTCTGGATAATTTGATTTCTGGAGTAGAACTGAAGGCAAACGGTTTTGTTCGAATTAACAATTAAAGAATTTCTATAACACCATGATGTAAACTCATTAGATAAAACATTTAATTTACTAATTAATTCATCTACTGATTGTGAGTTGGTGGCAATTGTTGTGTTATCTGCATATAAAATTATGTTTTCTGAGTCAATATGATTAGGCATATCATTTATGTAGCATAGAAAAATTAGAGGTCCTAAAATTGATCCCTGAGGCACACCCATATCAACACTTTCTAGTTCAGATTTACAATTTTCGACTTTGACATAGATCTGTCTGTTATTAATATAAGATGACAACCAAGATAAAAAGTTACCTCTAAAACCAAGCCCTTCCAATTTTTGAATAGTGACATCTAAGTTGATTGAATCAAACGCCTTTGATAAATCAAAGAAAAGCGCACCCACAAACAACTTTTGATCGATAGAAGTATGTATGAAATTAAAAAGATCTATTGCTACACTTTCAATAGATTTTTCTGGAATGAATCCATTTTGATTTTTGCATATTATTTCATATTTTTCAAGAAATATTAACATTTATTTGAGGACACACTTTTCAAAGATTTTGCTTAAGATTGTAGGCACTGTAATAGGTCTATAATTATCAATTAAATTATTATCACCTTTTTAAAGATAGGAGTTACATATCCTACTTTCAGAAAATCTGGGAAAATACCTAGATGAATAGACTGATTGATTAAGTCTGCTAGAATTTGAGAGATGTGATGACTAATACGTTTTATTATCTTTGTGGAAATGCACTCAATGCCCATAGAGTTAACATTTTTTAATGAGTGAATAACCTCAATTACATCATGATGATCAACAGGAGAGAGGTAAAAGGTCTGAGAGACAATGCAGTAAAATTTTTAAAATTCAAATCATTGAAATGAGAATGTAGTGTTTTTTTTTTGTGGAGGTGGCAAAATGCTCTGCAAAAACTTTAGCTATTTGTTTTGGTTCAATAATTGACAGTCCTCCTACTTCAATTTGTTTAATTTGAGAACCTTTTGATGTTTTACCATCTTGGTGATTTACCTGTTTCCATATATATTTTTGTTTTTGCTGAAAAGTTTTATTGTGCAATCCCTTTTGAAAATGAGATCTTTTTGCTCCATTTATATTATTGACAGATTGTCTCTTTGCTTCTTTGTATCTAATATGTATATTCACATTATTAGAATTTTTTACTGACCAAAATAAATTCCTTATATCAGCTGCCATTCTCAAAATATCTGGAATTATCCAGTTATTTTTTTTTATTTGTCTTTACAGCTCTTCTGACAAGCGGACAATTTACTACTATATAGTAATTTAGAATATGTAAGAATGTTTCATAGGCAAGATTTATGTTATCAAAATATTCATACACAGAATCAAAATTTTCAGAACTTATTTTTTGCTGCAGATTAAGTAAATTCACCTCTGATAAGTCTCTAAAATGTATTTTTTCATTGATATCAGTTACATAACATTTTTCCTTTATATAATTTAATGACATGTCAATTGCTAGGTGATCTCCAATACAGAGGTCTACCACGGTTTCCGTATATGTAGAAAGGTAGTTTGTGAGAAAATAATCAATTTTAGTACGCTACGTTTTACCGTTTTTGTCAGTACAAATTCTAGTTGGTTCTCTATTTAAACAACGCAAGTTCAAACACTCCATCAAATCACCTAATAAAACTTTTTCTCCTGAATCTTTTAAAAAATCAATATTGAAATCTACACAAATTATGCTACATTTGAAATGACTATAACAATAATTAAGAAGCATATACATCTTATTAATAAACGTATCAAGATTACCTGTTGGGGCTTGATAAATAGTTAACAAACAATACCCAAGTCCATTTAAACTAAATGTAATTGAACAACATTCAAAATTTAACTCTTCACTTTTATCATTAATAAATCGCGTATCATACAACAAAGATTTTTTTACAAGTATCAAGACACCACCATGATCCATATCAGTCCTATTAAAGAATGCAGCCTGATGGTATCCATTAAAACAAAATATTGATATTATCATCATGACACCAGGTCTCTGAAAGGCATAAGATATCTGGCGATTTTTGATTTATAATTAATTCAATCCAGTTAGTTTTATTTGTTAATGACTGAACATTTACATTTATTATCCTAAACTTAACATCCACATCATGATTGTTCACAATTATACCATGTATGTTTTTAGTTGGAGATCCTTTCTGAGAGAAAAATCCTGGATACTATCATTATCAACTAAAGTTTCATCCTCATCCAAATTGTTATATGTCTGATTACAGTCTGACATTCAACTACTGGTTTTAATAAAAATTAAATTTGATGCAGGTTTTTTAGGAGAGTTCTTTTTTTAATATGCAGGATATTTGTTTGTTGTTTAAATTATTAGCGTTATTGTAGTTGGTATTTAAAAAAATAGCAGGTCTTTCGTGATACCTATTAAAGACTTCCAGAAAACTAAATAACTTATTAAATTTGGAGACTTGTTGGACGCATTCTTTATTAGGACTGGAAGCAGATAAAGATATGAAATTTGTTTGTGTACAACTTTTTAATTTGTAACTTATATTCTTAATACTAGGGTATTGTTTATTGAAAAAGTCAGAAGAACCAGAATTGGTAACTAGGCACTTGTATTTGTTCCTAAACATTAACAATGGATTTCGAAGAAACTTCAACTAAGTAAATAAGCGTTTCGAAACATTTTTACAGTTTACAAATAAAGTTGATTGACAAAACATTCTTCTGTGATACAAATAACAAATTTACTTACCATCTCTGGTATGTACACAGTCAGCTTCTCCAATATATCGTATTTCGTCAATAAATTACTGCAAAAACCTTGTTCAATGAGCTTCAAACAAGTTCTGCACAGCTTCAATGTTGAATCATTTTTAGGTGACAAACATAATTTGTTATCTCTAATATACACAATTTTATTGTTGCTGCCACCATACAGAGATAATATTTTCTGCGTACGGAGGCAAGTAGTCTTAAATTCGAATGCTTTTTCCAATTTTATAACACAATTAGAGCATAGTACTGGATTATTTACTTCTATACACTGCAAAAAAAGATGGAGCAATAAAAACAATTCCTATAGGTTAATAATGGTCGAAATTACTTACATTTTTCCGCAATACAGCCCTTAACATATCACAAATAGCACCTTCTATCTTTTGATAGTTGTTATCGTCGACCATACATAACCTGCACAACATTTTTCCGGATTATTTTGCTAGCTCGAAGAAAGTTAATTTTACTGTCGGTTAATACGCAAATGGGGTGTTCAATTAACACATTTTGAATTACTTAGTAAATTGGTTTGTTTTAATTTGAACTACAAGCAGATAAAGGAATTTTGATGGACTCTTTGGAGACGCTTCTTCTACATGTCAAACAAATGAGGTTATGAATGAATGACAGAACGACAAAACGAATACCTACAGAACCGTGGAGAAAGGATAAGACAGAACGGTTTCCCGTTGTATAAAAAGAGATGGACAACTTTTGTTGTTAAACATGTTTTTTATGTGTTTTGAAATAACTACCTAGGATTTATAATTTTTCAAATGATAAACCGTATAATGTCTGTGTTGAAATAAATCATTAACATTTTTATCAACATTAGAAAATATTGACAATAAAAAATATTTGTTTGTTGTTTTCTAATGAAATTATGAAATATTCCAACTTCATACAACGGTTTGAATGTGAGCTACTATTACCGCCATCTATGAAGAATAAATTTAACACATTTGTAAATTAATTAGGCATTCCAAACAAATGAATTACCAGTGGGCAGGTTTGGTATATCTAAGGGTGGCGACATATGGTGTATTCTATCTACTTTACGTAAAATCATGAATAATGGATTACATTTAAATATTTTATGTCAAACACAATAAAAATATTATTTAAAAAACCCACCTATACATTTCTTCATAAATTGGCAGGCTTGGCGAGTACTACTTCGAATAAAAATAGCGTCCAAGTTGCAAGACTATGTCGCTACCCCCCTTAAATATACAAGAATTTCCCACTGGCACCTATTGTTTGACAGATCGTTGGAATGCCTAATAGATTTTGCAGCGTCATCTATGAGTTATGCATTATAAGTTATTGCACAATAATACAGATTTCTTTATTAATATTCAATGTTAAAGTTTACGTAATACAATAGATGGCACCATCTTAGTTTAAGAACACAATAGCCCAGTATAAATGATAACATTGTATAAGTATATTTTATATTTATACAATGATAATGATAATTACTTGTACTGGAACAATAGTCTGAAGAGTTTTATTTATTAGAGCTTTAGAGGAACAAAAATTGTTAATAATATTGGTCCGAACTTTAATTTTTTTACCAAACTCCTATTCATCAAATTTTTAGAAACGTCTGTCCCTCCGATGTCGCGTTTTTTGTCTGCACGATAAGTTAAAAACGAAAAATGATATCAACTTGAAATTTTCAGGAAAATCAGGCTCTATAAGGGGACCAAGCCTACCTACTGTTTTTGAAAAAATCTGAATAAAAATGGGTCCTTAAAAGGGAGTTGAAATATTTAAAAAATTCTAACTCAAAAACGAAAAACGATATAACGGAACGATATCAACATGAAATTTTTTAGTAAAAATCAAGCTCTATATGGAGATGAAGCCTCTTATTGATTCTGAAAAAAATCTGCGTGAAAATAGGGGTTTAAGGGGGCGATAAAATAAAAACGAAAATCGAAATCAACATGAAATTTTTAGTAAAAATCAAGCTCCATAAGTGGAACAATTATGGAGGTAGTAGAGAGAAAAGAGTCATCGCTGCTCGGGTACTGAAGCAGTCTCCGTTTCCCCATCGTATTGGCGCTGATCGCTATTATTAATTGTTTGTTTTTATTCTTTTTTATCGTTTTATAAAAAACTATTTTAAGAAAATCAATTGTATCTGAATTATTTCACGTTGTTGATGAAAGCACCTCTTCCATAGTTCTCAGAAACCCCCATAAAAAATATCTGGCTACGCCACTAACCTGTGCCATATTGTTAGTATCCTAATGTCATTTGGCCGACCTAAGATGCAAATTGCCTAAATCCACTTTTTACCGAAAATACGTTGTATTCACAGAGGTTGTATTAAGGTTGTATTGGCTATCCGTTAGTTAAAGATCTATACCACTGATCTGTATTATTTTACTGAATAGGATATTCACTCCCATGCATGACAGCAGCGCTAATTCATTTAGGTACTACCCAGACAACACACCAAATCCCAGAGATATCCACAGAATATCTTTTGTGGATATCCAATATATCCACAGGATATCAGAAATATTCCGTGGATCTAATATGGATAACCAAATGTCCGTCTATATCCAGAATATAGAAGATATCCTAATGGCTATCCAGCAAAATATATAATGGGTATCTTCCAGACAATACAAGAAATCCCAGAGATATCCACAGAATATATTTTGTGGATATTCAATATATCCAATATGGATATCCAACCAATTGTCCGTCTATATCCCAGGATATAGGAGATATTCGGATATTCAGCAAAATATTTTATGGGTATCTTTAGTAGAGGTTCATAAGTACCCAATGATTATTCAATAACGTTGAAAGAAAATAGCAGAGGTAAAAAATATTTCAAGCCTTTGATTTTGCCCACTAAGGAGAAAGTCATCCTTATTAGGACTCTTCAGCAATAAATGGAAATTCTCCACTCCAGTCTCTAATAGAGTCTGATTAGGACACAAATTTCGATCGAACTCAATTACGGCGGGTCGAGCATGAGTAGATGCGAATGTGGTATCGCCATCTATACTTAGTAGGCAAAATCAAATAACATCTAGTGGATATCCACCATGGTTTGCGTTTGCGCCTAGACTTTGATATATTTAGTGGATGTCCATGGGATATTGATAACACCTTAAAAAAATTAATTTTAAATCTGAACGGTACTATTAGCCACAATGGCGTAATTTTTTAATAATTTGCTATATACTTACTATTATTTATGGACATTTGCATGTCTATAAATTACATTTCATGGATATAAAATAGATATCCACCATGGACTGGACATTCAGTGGATATTGGGATGTTCAGTAGATATCCAAAAGATTTGGTGTGCTGTCTGGGTAATGGACTATTTCTATGCGTATAGGTACTGACAATACATTTTTTAATAGAATTTGTAATTAAAAAGTATGTATGTTAGTTTCAATATAAGTACCTATATGGATTTGTAAAACAAGTAAAACATTAATTTATTATTATATTATATATTTTTATCGCTTAAATTTAAGTATAATCAATAAAAATCAATAATAAAATATAAACAGGCAACAGCATTTACGGGAAAATGTATGAGAAGTTGCCTAAGTCTAATAAGTTGTCTTTGACGAATTAACCTATTCTGTAGTTAGCGCAAGTATCGTTTTTACTTCCTCTACCATGACTTCGCACTAAGCGAATAGGCTATATTTGACATATTAATAATCTGTTCCACCAAGAAGACCGGAAGTGCAACACTGCTGGCCGATTTGACAAAGCAATATTCGTAGAAACACATTCCAAGTATGCGCATACCGGCCCATTAATATACAACAACCCATACAGTACAAACTCATTTCGGAAATATTTCAAAAATGTTACATTGAAACATTTGTAATGTATAAATATTACGAAACATCCCAGAAATTGAAATGTGACAGAAACGTAAAAATATCCTGTAAATATAAAATTTCACAGTTAGTAATATTTCAGAAATGTAGGAGAAGGGCCTATAATTTGGACCGTCTCTTAAATTGGACCAAAGGATTTATTTCTATATGACCGACTTTAAGCGACATTTATTGGCATAACCCGTAACTGAGATGCTATTATCAGAGACAATCCAGCGAGACGTGTAACTCAATGTATTTTTTTGTTCGGTAAAAGTTGTTTGGGCGATTGTAACCACAACCAGTCTATGATGGCGCCACTAGTAAATAGCGGGAAAATTAAAAATGATTTAGGGAGGGAAATTCAGACATGGATTCAGAAATAAATAGTTTTTCTATTCAAATTTACAGGAGAAACAAAAACTGTTGTTTCACTGTATATTAAAAAATATAAAAGCTTCCAATAACATCAAATTTTTTATCATATAAATAATCATTTTAATAAAGAAAGTTTTAATCAGTTTAATATAAGCAATGAACATAGTTTTTATTACTCTTGTAAATTTCGCTAAAAAAAATTGAAAATTTTATTGATTATTAAATATTTATACTTGGAAAAATAATACACCAAAATTTTTTTCTATAAATTATATTTTTGTAAAGTACAAAAAAAAAACTACAATTGCTACGTTTAGCAAGTAGCTTGTATCATTTTGTGACAAATTACAAAGAAAGTAACAGTTGTTATATATTGATAATATATTTAAAAACTAATGTAAAAAATATTTTATAAAGTAGAGAGTATATCAATACCTTTTTGCCAGACCATCATAAGTGCCATGTGAACAAATGTTGATTACGTTAGTCTGGCAAAAAGGTATCTATATGTTATGACTGTTTATTTTAATAGAAACCATGAAAACGAAACAAACACACACATAAACACTCACACAAATGTATAAGGCCCAAGTCCACATAACATCAATGTTCTATGAATATACTAAGAACGTTCTGTTTATGTTCTTTTTAGTATGTCCTTTTTAGTATGTTCTTAGAACATACCTAGTATATACTTTGAAATTATATTCTAGAAAGTATAATATGCTGAGCACGTGCCTTAAAAGTATATTCCAAAAAGTATATACTGAGCACGTGCTATAACAGGACATTCTAAGAAGATACTAAAAGTCATATACCCAGCATGTACCTCATATTCTGAGAATGTTCTAAATGCTTGCAGGTAAAATTTACACCAAATACATGTAAAAAAAACGTTTATATACATATCTATATGAATTTTTCCCAGATACCGATCTATTAATTGGTTAGCAAACGCACTAATGTTTAGGCCAAAAACAACCTTAATAAAAATAAGAAGAAGAATAACATAACCTACAATTTCTACAAATTTCTTTAATCTCGTTTCAGTAAGTAAATTAGTAAAAATTAATTGCATCGTGTGTTCTATATAAAAATAAACAAATTTTACTATAATTGTAGTTTTTAGGACCTATAAGTGATGTTAGAATACAGGATATCCCAAATATTAATTGCCAGTGTGAATTTATTAATATGGTTAATACTAATGGTGGATTAAAACTAAAATTTAGTGTTACCAGAATTACATACACACTTTCTATG